CCGATCCTTATCTTGAGGGCGAGTTCATTCTTCCTATTCATTCTCCCTAGATACTCATGCGGTATGGTACACCTGCCCCGTGATTTTAAATGATTCACGACTGAGGCCTCCCGGCACTCCGCTATCATAAGTCTTGACTCGCCCCCAGCAACCCCAGCAACCCCAGCAACGCAAGCAAGTGACTGATATCTCACAATATTATCCTTCACGGGGCATCCATCATTGTTCTAACAAGTCTTGCCCATACAAATATCTTCTACCGTATTCACTTCCAGTACCTACTTGGAATACCTAATCACAAGCTTTATATCATTCATCGGTTGCAAGATACCCTACCAACCCCAGACTACAACTGATCTACCGTACTGCAGCCTGCGAGTACCGTTTCAAGCTCTCACAAAAGACCCACAAGACTGGGCGGAACTGTAGATAGAGAGTCCTTATCAACAACCTCGACTTCTCAACTTCATCGCAGACAAAATATTCCAACATACAACTTTATTCTGGAGGGTCAAAGATGTTTTCCGAATGTAAGTAAACTAACTCACTTGCCCTTACCTTGTGCATTCTTTTAACCATTATATTATCCAGATGCTTCGCGCTTCTTAGCTCAGTCACAGTCTCGATTCTCCAATTTCGTCCAACAGGATAACGAAATCCCAAATCGAAGTCCAAACGAACGTTATCAACGATCGCAGCCTTTACGAAGTTCAAGACATCAAAGAGGACTTGGAAACCCTTATCAGTCCTCACACCTCCCAAATTTCGGATTTACATCTCGATATTCCCAAGCTCCGCCTGATGCCCCGTTATTTCACAGCGCTTTGAATGATTTTCAAGAAGAAGATGAGGAGGAGGAACGAGAGAGGGAGACTGCAGATTTCTTTGCGCTTCAGCGATCACGGAGAGTTTTTGCACCTACGAGAGAACTGGAAGAAAGTGAGGAAACCGAGCGCGACGGGAGCGATATAGCTCTGGGGAATAGTAAAGATGATGGAATGGCAGGTGACCATCGGGAACGCCCACGAGGAATCAAAAGTAGTTGGAAAGGCGGTATCCGAAGTACAAGAGAGCGAGGCCACACACCGGAAACGGTTGGGGAGGAATATGATGACGAAAGTAGGCGACCAAGCAGTCAGGGAAGCAGTAGTAAAGGAAAGGGAAGAATGGTCGATATTGGACTAGAATCCACGATTGCCGACAGCTTACCGCCAAGTGAACCGGATTACGATATGGGTGATGATAACCCACCAGCCTTTCAACAATTTAAATCTGGGCCAAAATCTGGCACAACCCGATTTACAGATGAATCCATCAGAGGCAATGAGAGGGATATTGAATCGCAACAATTACCTGGTCCTCGATACCCCATACGACCGAATGAAGTGGAGGTTGTTCCAGTAGCGATTCCTACAACTCCAGACGAACTGGAAGGGCCAAAGCATGATATGTTTTGGGGGTCATTATTTTTGATATGCTTGGCTTCACTTTTCGCAACTTTCTTCCTCATCTTCCTCCATACATCAACGCCTGACGGAGTGCTCGGAGATACGATATATACCACTCTCCATTCTTCATTCCATCTATTCGCAGTCGATACCCTTGCATCGATAATTGTATCATTTATCTGGCTTGCGTTACTGCGGTCTTTTGTTCGTCCATTGGTGTTCCTAATTGTTCTCGCGGTACCAGTCATACTGTTTTCGTTCTCATTGTATCCTATGGTGTCTAGTATGAAAGGGTCAACAGATCGAACTGGTGTACAAGATAGGGCTATGAGGTGGATGTCGTTTGTACCTGGAGCTCTTGCTCTGCTCTGGCTGTACACTATTTATAAAGGACGACAATCGTTGACTAAAGCAATCAGCATTCTAGAGTTTGCGTCAAGGATTCTTGCTTCGAATCCTGGTCTGCTCGCGTTGGGATTCGCTACGCTGGGGTCAGTTATAGTATGGACCTGGATATGGTTAGGAATGTTCACGAGAGTATTCTTGGGTGGCCATCTCTCAAAGTCAGGTCTTAGCTTCATTATTGATGCAACGACTTGGTGGCTTGGTGTATATTTCGTGATGATGTACATCTGGACTCTTTCCGTGATTGGGGGGATTCAGCGAACTACCACTGCTGCAACAGTTTCTCAATGGTATTATCACCGTAATGCGCAGACAGGAGCTTCATCTCGTGAGGTCGTTGCGGCAGCATTCTATCACTCGACCAATACGATATTCGGTACTATATGCCTGTCGTCATTGATAGCTCTCTTGATTAAACTTCCTCTCCTCGTGTTTCCACGACGATTGGTGGCGGCTATTTCGATAATTGCGTACTCTTTTGTACCAGCACCAGTGACAGCATTACTCAATCCTCTTACCCTCACCTATGCTGCTATTCACTCACAGCCTCTTCAGACTTCCGCGAGGGGTCTAAGTCAAATGACATTCCTCACACCTCAAGCTCCTACAACCACGTTAACTCCACGATCCTTCTCCTCTCGGACTCACGCCACAACACCTCTACTCCCTTACCGTCTAGCTAAACTGCTTCTTCATGCAACCCGTATCATCATGTCTATGGCCCTTGGTTTCGGTGGCTGGGTAGCAACTGCTCGTCAATTGTCTATCAGTGTGCCCGAAGGTCCTGGTCTCAAGGGAAGTGCATATGCATATGTTGTGGGACTTGTTGCTGGATTCATTGGTTGGGGTGTACTTGGGGCTATGGAGGGGGTACTCAGTGGAGTTGTGGATGCGACGGTTGTCTGTTGGGGAAGTGAGAAGGGAATGGCCAACGGTGGGGCATATTGCTTGGAGGCGGGCTATTTGTTTGGTGATGATAGGGAGTAGCGAGTAATAATTAAGGAACGTAGTAGGGAAATGGAGGAAGGACGATGGATTTGTATTGATTTGAGTTAATTGGGGGTATATGGAGCTTGGAGCATGGTACATATCTGGATGGGTTTATGGAGCATAGGTCATTATATGATCGGATGGCATGACATGACTTAGCATGACATAGCGTTTTTTTAGCATGACGGAATTGATTAATGAAGAGCATTTGATGATTATATCATATATACATATGTATTATGCAAATGGAATTAGACCTCGGTGTTCTTGAATAGGATGAATCATAAACAAGAGGAAGAGCTGGCCGAAATTACCTATATATTTCAAGATCTTACCTTTGATCTGGTCAGATTTGATCGTGTGATAAGATTTAGTATTATACCTGTTCAAGTAACTGCCTATATTCATCACTTCTATCCCATTTCTCTCCTCCATAAATTTACATCTCAATTTACATCTCGAATTCTTCTGTCCTTCACTCCCCCGATATCTCCGTTTTCCTCGGGAAATACTACGGTTCTTGTCTCGATATTACAATATTAATTCTCATTATTTCTGAGGAACATATTTACATACATACACGTATAAACATATAAATTAACTCATTCCACATGGTTTATAAATATAAATATAAATATATAAGCGAAAGCAAACCTGCGGATAGCCATCGAAATATGGGGCGGGCTACAGTATAGTTACGAGCGGAAAAAGGAATGCAAATTGTGCATGTGCTTTGCTCTGTTTTTCCTGAATGAATGGATGGGTGGATGGAAGGGAGTATGAGGTGGGAGGTGAAGGGAGGGGGGTTATTGTTTGAAGTTCTGGTGCGTGGGTAGGTTGAGGGTGATGTGATGTTATTTGATGAAGGCTAAGGGGACAATTGTGGTTGTGAGTTAGATGAGAGGAGTAGTATGTATGTATGTATACAGAATGTATCCATCTAGAATACTACCTACTACGAGTACATTGTATCAATACATTTTCCACCCTGACCATCTCAAAAGCTATGTAAACCTCAACCCTCGCCCCCCGTTCCCTTTCCTTCCTTCTTCTTCATATTCCTGCTCTTCCCCTCCCTCCGATATCGCCGTCAAACCCCATCCATCCACCACACATCACACATCACACAAACAACAGTCCCGTTACACAATTCCAAAAAATCACATCAGCCGTTTCTTTTGTTTTCACCGCCACGTTCATGCCATACTATGCTATAGCACAGCATACATACACTACACTACCTACCTATTTTCGATATATGCCCGAGGACGAGAAGAAAGAAACACACATCGCCGACTGACTTTCTTTCTTGCATGCGCGTGGGTGTTTCTAGAGATGTGTATATGTTTTTTGATTAGTTGGTTGGTTGGTTTGTGTATGCATGTATATCTGTTTTCTCGATGGAATAATGATGAGCAGGAAGATCGCTCGACGGATGATGCTGAACATAATGATGGAGGATGGATGAACTGTATTTTGATAGATAGATAGGAAGGAAGGAAACTTATTCATACACATATACATACGAAGTATACATACGAAGCAGGATGATTTGTTAGTAGAAAGAGAATTGCCCATTGCAGATAGGACTACCTGCGATATCGACGCATACATATAGTATGATTTAAATATATGATCGCTTAGAAAGGGAGAGGACTTGAATGCATACATGCATGATGCATTGAGAACTTCACAATCATTCCGATGGGAGTCAAGACTCAAAAGTACATTTTCGGATTGTGTCTTAGTTACTGGGGATATGGATGGAGATTTGGATGTTTTTTCGGAAGCTGAATGCGTAGTTGTTTGTTTGTTTGTACATGTCTCGTGTCGAATATCCTTTTTTTGTTCCTCTGCTGAAGTATTGAGCCCGGCGTCTGGTTGTTTATAATCTTCATTCCCTTTCGTAATGTTTCATATACATTGATGTATGGCTTGGCTTGTGCTCTTTTTGTTCTATGAAAATATATATCGCCATCGCCATCGCCAAAATTCCTACATTTTGATTCATTCCTCCTGCAATTCCATGTCAAAAGACATACATACATACATACATACATACATATCCACCTGGAATATTATATCCGCATTTCTTACATGCATCAAATATATAAATATAACACCAACTCCACCCAGCCAAGCATAATACAACTCATCATGGCCTTCACAACACGCTCATTCTCCTTCATCTCCCTCTCCCATCCATCCTCATCCCCATCTCCATCTCCCTACTCACCACTCACATCCTCGAAATCTCGTTCCAAACAACCCAAATATCCCCGAAAAGATAAATCTAAATCTAAATCTAAGCGCAACTATCCCCACAAACAAGAACAAGAACAAAAGCTCCTCACCGAGGTATTTGAAGGGAGGAAAGATGAGGAGTGTCCGTGTCCTAGCTGTGTATATCCGGATGTGGATAGCGGGGGAAGTGAATCTTCCCCATCCTCGTCATCATCATCATCGTCATCATTCGACAATCACGATATCGATTCAGAGGAAAGTCTTAATATGGTAGGGGTAGAGAACAGAGGTAAATTGTTGGAACGGCGAAAAAGAGAAGCAGGAGGCGGGTTGAAGATGAAGTGGGGATTGGCTTGGTTGAGGGGGAGGGAGAGGGAGACGCGGGGGAGAGGATACGGCTATGGATACGGATATGAATATGGGGAAATAAATAATAATACTGGAGTTTCTTGAGATGGGATGAAATAGGATGAGACGAGATGAGATGGAGATTGAGCGGGATAGTAAAATCAATTGATCACGGTTGCAAAGTGACAAGAGGAGTGGGTGGTGGTGGCGAGAGACTAGTGTTGGTACGGAGATGTGAATTTTCGAGGGGGGAATCCGAATGCGAGAATGAAAGGGGAATAAATGACTTGTTCGTCTGGTGCTGGTAGTGTTGGATATCTAGTGTACTAGGTACCCAGGTATTCCATGATAATATGACACAAAAGGAAGCGAGACAGGAGATATATAAATAAATATAAACATGGATATATAAATAGAACACAAACCAATCATGTCTTGATCATATGAACCCATCTATCTCCCACCTCCACCCTAGGTGTGAAATACCCTATATTCTAAACAATCCATATTAACCTCCATAAGCGTTTCGCATAATCGAGGTGTCTGTTCATCTCTATTGTAGTGTGTACAATGCATTACTCAATACTCACCAATTCCCCTCTATCTCAATGAACACTTATTCACTGAGCTTACGTGGTATATACACTACCATCAAGAGTAAGAAATGGGTAACTGATAGGATAAAGATTTAATTCATCTTTCACATCTGAGCGAGCGGAGATTTGGTATCTATAAATTTATTCAATCTAATCCCAAAAAGCTAATCTTATCTAATCATCTAACGATATGATATTTATCCCGAACCCGGGATTCAAATGTAATTCTATATGGTATCTTTCGCAAAAAACCCAATTCCCTTATATACTATCCATAACCCATCCAGTCCGTTACTTCCTTGTATGCATTTTATTTATCCTTTCCCTGACATGTGTGTGTATGTATGAATTCATCCCCTCATCTACGCGGCTAGTAGATCACCCCCTTTTCCCCATTTACTCTCCTCTTCCATGTCTGCCTCTGGAGTCTTAACTCCATATGCATCTAACAATTTGATACATCCCTTGTGACCCCCATTCCACGCATCCCCAGCAGGACTTACATCCCTATCATCTTTTGCATCGGGGGCAGCACCGTGATTGAGGAGGATCTTAGCGATATTTTCATGACCCCTCGCACACGCATCATGAAGTGGAGTCTTTCCCTCCTCATCTCTGAGGATGGGATCCGCGCCTCTCTGCAGAAGGAATTTTGTCGATTTTGGAAGATTCTTGCGGATGGTCCACACGAGCGGGGTGGTGAAGTGATGATCCGGACAATCGATATCGGCGCCGTGAGCAAGGAGTAATTTCGACATGTCGAGGTTGTTGTAGGAGATGGCAAGACCGAGCGGTGTGCCTTCGCGGGGTCCATTTTGGTAATCGGTGTTTCCGCCTTTGTGGTTGGGGTCGGCGCCTTTCTGGAGGAGGATCTTGGCGACTGAAGTGTTTCCGCAGTGGACGGCCCAGTGGAGAGCAGTGAGACCGAAGGAATCTTCAACGTCGATGTAGGTGCTGCTGTTCTTGAGAAGAATCTCGGCAACCCACCAGGTGTTGCATACAGCTGAGATGTGAAGGGCGGAGAAATGAACATTTTGGATGGCGGAGAAGTTGGTCATGTGGCGGTGCTTTTTGAAGTAGAGGAGCCAGGTACGGCGGAGATCGCAGTTGCGACGGAAGAAATGACGGTCGAGGGCGTAAGATTTCATCATGCGGGATCCGGCGATGTTGCTGTGGTTGATCCAGTAGATGAGAGGATATTGAAGACTATCTTCCGAGGAAGGTTGATCTTGCAATGAAGAGAGTGGAACATCCTCGAGACTTTCGAGGTAATATTTCCAGTCTCTGGTTGTGTATTTGAGAGCTCTGAAAGCTGCCTTTTCGTGTTCAAACTCGAGATCCGAGGAGAAGATACCGGCTGTTTCGTGGTTGAGGAGATATTCCTTTGCGGATCGGTGGACAAAGTATGGATGATCGCGGTGTAATGATAAGAATGATCCACATAATTCAACAGCATCCAAGACAATATCTTCATCGTCCATGGCTGCTGCGGGGAAAGCTGCCATGACAGCAAGTTCGCGAAGACTGAGAGGTCTGAAAGCGATACCAACTGCACGGAAGACTGAAAAGGCCTTTTGTTGATCTTCTTCGCCCAATTTCAAAACTCCCTCGAGGATTCTGGCATATAATGCATCAAGCCCAGTAGGGAATTTTCCGAGTACAAGCTTGACATTGATGAATGAGACGTTCTTCTTCAAGAGCTCTTTGCAAGCAAGAGAGATGAAAAGGAAGTTTCCTTCAGCCTTCGCCCTCAATTTATCAGCGACAAATTGTTTCAATGGTGCATCAAATCTCTTCTTGGTAGCCAAGACATCAACCTTATGAGTGATGAATGTATCGACGGCCTTGCTCATTTCAGCGGCGGAGTCTTCCAAGTCTACGACCCAGGACAACTTCAAGTACTCCTCGATCTTTGTTTCGTTTCGACTAGTGAAGATCCATTTGACATTGCAAAGTCCGTCGACGTTGGACGCAATGTATGTGCTAGCGAGCTTGAGGAAAATATCCAAGGATTCCTCGGTACACTCATCGAGACCATCGATGATCAGGTAAAGGTTTCGTGTGGTAGAAGCTTCGAGGACTCGGGTTAAAGCAGTCCAAACTCCCTCGATGGTGGAGAACATTTGAGGTCCATGACGTTTGAAGTCTTCCAACAGCACATTTCGAGAGCTTTGTTTCAGAACTTGATGAAGAACGGTCTTTAGTGCATGTAATGTTGAGTTTCTTTGATCCGTGTTGTTGTCGCAGAAAAAGTAGGCCATTTGGTCACAGGGGTTTTGAGCGACCTGTTTGGAGAGTGTGTCGACAAGGTACATTGAAAGCATGGTTTTACCCTTTCCTGCTTGTCCATGAACCCACAGCAAGTCAGATTGATCGCTCTCGATCATCGACTTATAACTCTTGTTGTTGAGGATCCAGTCGCATGATTTACTCAAGAGACGATCCGTACGAGCTTCGATTTCTCTTCTTCCAATGAGTGGATTGATGACAGTGAGTGCATTCAAAACCTCATTGCTGGCTGCTACATCTTGTGGTGATGCCTTGTTGAACCCTCGGACCTTTCTGTGCTGAGTGGTGACGATATCGTTGATTTGACGAGTGAGTTGTCCCTTTTCCATCTCACGGGTGCTAAGCATGGTCGATAGCAGACTTGATACTGCATCCTCATGAATCGAAAGCTCTTTCCTGAACTGTGATACATCCCACTTCCTGCAAGCTAACCAATCGATATTTTCGATGATTCTGGAGAATTCTTCGTGAGACCATAAAGATCCCTTGGTGGTGATACCGTTTAACCTGCATCCTTGATGCACAAATCTTTCTATACAGTGTTGGCATGCACTAATAACTTGCATCATCAAACCACGTTGAGCTCCAAATGATGGATCACTCAAAAATCTCTCGATACCGTCGAGACGCTTGTGAAGGTTGGATAGGACTTGTGCAACATCCCCAAAGACTGGGTTTGCCTTTTTCGAATCGTCGATTGCTGTGAATGCATTTCTAAGGATTCCAACTCCATGAATGACCTCGCCGAAACTGAAACCGAATGGAATGGCCATGGTTGCTATATCTGTTGTAGAGGAAGGTGCCTGAGAAGGTTTTCACTACCGGTGTCGTAAAACGAGTTTTGAAGTTTGGTATTATATATGTTGAAAAAGTTACAAGTATAGAATGTAAAAGGTAGATCAAGTTGGTGCCAGAGATTGACAGAATGGACGTCCGTGAAGCTTAAAGAAGCCTCTTGAATAATCGTGGTATAATGATTTCTTGTAAGGTGTCATTCGGGCCGTGGTGGCGTACTTTGAATGGACCTTTGGAGGTTGATTGTGATATGAACTTATCACAACTGATATGATCACTCCTTTCTCAATTGAAAAGGCGGAAAGATAAACTTGACTGATATAGAGATAAAGACAGGAGGGATAGGTCTGATATATATAAATGATGAATGGAGATAGCATTGCCGTGGTATGTCTTGATTACATTACTCTTTCAAGATAGGACCCACCGAGTGTTTTGAATCGTAGGAATGTACTCCGTATATTTTCAGTGCATTAGTGTCCAACGGATTAGAATGAAATTGGGAAAACCAACGAGTAAATCCACATGTTACCCTACCGACCACTTGAGTTATGAAGCGCGACGACCGAAGATAAGTCATTGATAATAAGCAGAATCCACTCGGTACAACAAATTTTTCTTCAAAAAGGTCGGAAATAATAACCAGTAGGGTTACCTGACACAACGAACCAGGTTTACCGATGCCATCTTATCAATTTACTCCACTATTGTTGATATCCTAATGGATTAGTTTGATACCAACCTTTACTAGAGAATTAGGGGTCCGCTTATCTTCCGGCTTCTCTTCGCGCTACTTTTCAAAATCACCATATTATTCGTTCAAATTCCAAGCAAAGCACAAAATGAAGGGGTAAAAAGGGACTGGATAGCAATGGACAGACAATGGGACCGTCAAAACAACGCAACAAAGATAGAAAGTTCACATGTTTATCTCTTTACATGTATATGATCACTTGATTTGTCTCTTTTGCGGTATCAAAAAAACCCAAAAAATCCAGGAAACTGTAGATTAGATTGAAGATCATGAGAAAATCAAGATTCAAAGGGTTCAAAAAAAGAAGATTTACACTTTCAACGCCTTTTTTGAAATTCTTTGCATATTTTACTTGCATCGGCATACTTGTAAAAGGAAAGTCAATTATCAATAAAGTAACTGTTTGAAGGAATAACACATGGGTATAATGCATATTACCTAGGTAAGTTTTCACATTATAAAGCACATCTACGTCATTGTATCCATAATATGGCGAACTTGGTTGTTTTTCGCTACGCAATATGATCCTTCTGTGAGACCCTCAGAAAGAGGAAACTAAGAGGTTCCTCTTTTTCGTGCGATGTATTGATTCGGCTCAGCCCAGTTAAATGTCTCGAGAAATAATACGTGCGGAGGCACATCGTAGGGAGTAAAAATCGGTGGGAAGTCAGCTCAGGTCAGACCGCTCAAATTCCGCCTTTATCAACTAAATTCTAACTTCTAACGTGATTTGACCCACTCAAAACTACATGATATGATATCCCCAAAAAATATTCGATATGCATTGGTATACAATGAATAGCGTGCACTGCCTGTAACTACTAACTAGCTACTAACTACTCAAACAGATTCGAAATACGAAACCAATCAGATTACTAAATCTTGCATTCACGGTAATTTTTCGCAAATTAAACTCATTTTCACCTTTTCAGCATGACTTTAGACCCGGTTAAACAATAGGTACTTAAAAAATTCCTGCAGTAGTTGCCGAGCAAGATAGGAGACCTAGGGATGGGATGAATGAATCGTATGAAACCAATGAACCGCCTTTCCGACCCGATAACCAATCGTTCGGGAAACCGCTTCAATCTTTCTCCACTGAAAGAAAGATACAACTCAGAGGTTTAATGCTCAATGCTTTAAAAAAAAAGGATCCGTAGGATGTACAGAGTAAACAAGCCAGCTGTGCAAGATTGTGTTCTGATCGCATGCATGCATATAAAATATTAATATTGGGACTTTATAAATGAGTGGTGGTAAGGCTTGGCCCAATATTCATCTTCTGATGGCTTCATCAAAATTTCTGCATGGTAGGTAAAGTTAAATAAAAACTCTCATCATCAATCCTCAATATCAACATCCACTATGCTTGCAACATTTGCTAGATCGTGAGTTGGACTTGACCGTGATGGAGATCATAACAATAGAGGAGGAAGATGGATACCTGTTGTCCTTTGAGCCAATCAGCAATCAAACTGGTCGATATTTAATCAGATAATCTCCATCTAATAGCTCGTATCAATCCCGATGTCATTCTTTCCTGAATTTTGACGCATTGTCAATATACGCTCATGCCACATGGCAGATTTTCAGTCTGTGTTATCACGTCGAAGGTTCCAACTTCCAAGTTAAGGAATGCGGTATTTGTTTTTGAAAACTTCGGCACATATGACTCTATGAGATACATTGTTGACATGTGCCGCTGTCACATCACGGAAGCTTGTGAGAAAGGGTCATGAGGGGTCCTAAGGGGTCCTGAGGGGTTCGATGTTCATACGCTCTTCACTTCTAAGCTCGTAGCTTGATACTATTGTGAGCCGATCGATCGAAGATATCGAAGGTATCGATTATTGTTCGTTGAACTTGAAACGCGCTGTTAGGTAAAGTTGATCTCGGAGATTCCCAGCAACCTTATAGGGAAAATTCAAGGAAGAGGCAGGTTACATATTCACTCATGATCCACCCCGAGATCACGACTCATGGTATGTCAACAGTCAACAGATTTATAGGTATGTCGACGGCCTTTAAAATCCAACATGAAACAACCATTTGTATGTTAGTTTGCCGCGGGCCCAATGCCGACTTGAGTGAAGAATATCAAGCTGCTGACTATGCGAGTAATGTCGAGTACCGGCAAACATGGACGTTTATTGTATCTTGAATAGACAGTTGTGGCAAGCAAAAAGCAGAAAAGATCAGAATTTGGACCGTGTTTGAGAGGCTGAAATAGGGAGGGACAATCAAATTAATATAGTCCCCTTGGATTCCAAACTGGAGGGGTAAATACAGAAAAAGAAATACATTGATCACGTGGGAGTTTCAACAATTTTGTGATTTCTCGTGGCATTTTCTACCGACGCCCAAGGTGCTGGTTAATAAGATGCCCAGGCATGATTCTTCTCTGGATTCTTTCTTCCTTTCCATGATACTTTTGCGTGTCGAAATGCATCGCGAATTCAAGCATTGACTGCACCACTTCTTTCTTTCTCATCATCGATACCATCCCCCCACCTCATTTCTATTTCGGTTCCTTGAAGTTCAAATCCACCTACGAAGGAAGTAGTTACTAGGTATCTCTCAGAATTTGAGGGTCTCTTTAGTACGATTGAACTACTATCTGAAAAGTGTCTGCATCGAGTAGTTGTGCTCCGAGTAACTCAAGTCATCTACGATCAAGTCAACTATATCGTATGGATTCGTATTGTGCAGCCGCATTACGAGCACGGTTTTTCTCAAGACTTCTTCCCACTCTCGAGCCACTGTACACAAATACTTGAGTATGAACGTGTTACGGATTGCGGATTACGGATTACGCCTTATCCGCGCACGCATACAATGCTGGACTGGAGACTGGAGACTGGGCAATGAAGATAGCGTCGGCGAATTCATAAACTTTCGGCGCCAACCGTTAGCACTGCAAAACCCTGATGCATCGTACATACTCGCGCTCCGAGCTAATCAAAATCGGATCAATCAAAATCAAAGGCTACGATTATGCGATGAACTGCAGTCTGCAGTGAACTTCCTTCCTGGGTACGATCAAATTACGATGAACGCCTCATATGTCATTTTTAATAAAAAATTGATAAAGAATCTTCCGTCAAAGCTTCGTAAACGCGGTTCGATATTTCAAACAGTAATTTGGCGCCATCCACTCACTGTGAGTCTGTGACTATTTCATATTCCTCGAGCGTTTAGCGATTGCGTGCATGTAAGTAGGGTATTCTCCAAGAGGTTCCTCAGTTTTTCTATTTTCTCTTCTACTTGATAGACAGTCTCTGCTTTGGGTGTCTCACTCTCATGCAGATAATATGTCCTACCAAGCAATTTTGGACGGCAGCGTCGAACCAACAATACTCAAGACATTACCACGTGTCTAATGTCGTTGAAGACAATCCCGTTTGAACGGTGGGATATTTCCGTGTTATTGGCCTTATGTACGGCTCAGCCTCCTGATCACCGTGGTTCGCATCAGTTTGTGGGTCTGTTTTTCAAACATATCTAGCAGAGGGCTGGCAGAGGGCTGGCAGAGGGCTGGCAGAGGGAGAAGCAGAGAGGCGGAGAGGAAGAGAAAGGTTTCTATGTGAGGATTCTATTTGGAAGGAGAAAGATTTCAAGATCTCAATTCTGCAACGAAGCATGACGGTATGTTATCTCTTTCTATACTTTTAAGTTTTTCGCCATTGGAAATTACTCGCAGAGGTCTGTGATGATCTTCGATCAAGCAATCAATCAATCAATACTGTAGTTCGTCGCCATGAAAGTTTAATACAGAGAGTACACCTACCACACCCCAAAGCCTTATCTCACGCCTTCCAAGCTATATCGAAAACAATTAAGACGACAATACTATTGGAAGAATTGAAATTGGAATTGAAGGAAGTGTTGTCGGCCTTGAAATCACTACACACAAACACACAAACTACCGCGAGACAACCCTCCATTCAACGGTACGCCAGTTCAAATCGATAGTGTACTTTCTCAAGTTTATCGATAATCTGAATCTCCAACAAACTCTCTTTTTAAACCCCGAGGCAAAACATGCATTGATGAAGAATTGATAAACAATGATGTTGTCATAGAATCCCCAGAGAAGACGGAAGAATGAAATTTGGAAATTGGAGATTAGACATTGGATCAATTCATGGAACTATCTATATTCATGAGGTTTAGTTGTATGGTGGAAGGAATGTCTAAGAGAGAATGTCTGAGTGGAATGTCTGAGGTGAATTTGAAGGAAGGAGGGAAGGAAGGAGGGAACGTTAGATGTAAGTGTGGAGTTCCCGATGGACAATGGACAATGCAAGGTAGGTAGTGAGTGACTGGACTTGGTAGATGTGGTTGAGGACTGGTTCGTGGTCACTTGTCACTGGTTACTCTGGTTGATATATCTAGGAATTGTTGATACGGATAGAGATAGAATATAATGATGAGTATCTGTATGCCTTTTTGTTAGTGCATATGTATTATATATCATATTTTATCATATTTTATATATTATATATTATATATTATTTATTACATATCATGTATTATGTATTATATATTATTTATTACATATCATGTATTATATTATAATCAATAAAGAACTTGATGTTATATGATAAAGTGCCTACCCCTCTACTCTATCTTTTGTGCTACATATCATAATTATTCTCAAACTTCTAGGGTTTCTCATTCAACACCATAACAAACCAATCTGTCAACTTGGATAGATCTGAACATCTCCCTGAGTACCTCTCCCTGAACATCTGCCCTTCAAAGCAGGTGTGTGTTGTGTTATCATATCAAGCTTCACTTCATCTTTCTTAGCCTCGGCATCTTCAAAATTAAGCCTTTGTTCTATTCATTGTTCCAGAATAGAGTTTCAGTGAATAAAATCCCCTAAGGGGTCAATGATCTGATGATTAATTCCAGCATCAATGCGAGTAAAATTACTATGCGTTACTATATCACACTATGCCATCCGATGCTAACTACAATTATATCTAGAGCACTCTCAAGACGTTTCTGAAACTCTCAAACATTGTCTCGAGACTGCTTACTGCGATTTACCACGATTTATCACGAATGACCACGATTTGCTACGACTTACCACGACTTACTACGACCCATTGCATCTTCCCACCACCCACCACGAGTAAGAGCCTTACCACCTTAACCCCAAAACACGATAGATTCTAGAGCTTCAAGTCCCAAGTCCCGGTCACTCTAAACTCAAAGCTTCGATATCCGACTACCACATATTACTATATGTAAAGAGCCCTTCTCCCTACCAAACATCTTGATTTGATAGGAAATTATTCACATCTTTATTACTACTACTTACTTTAAAATACACACACATCTCTCTCTCCCTCTCTCTCTCTCTCTTCCTCTCTTCCTCTCATATTATCCACAACTTACATCATATACAAATCAAAATCCAACCAATCTTCAGGGGATTAATCCTCGGATATCTATCCAATCCATCCATCCATCCGCAAACCTAGTAAGAACAACAAAATAATGTCTCTCTATGAATGTTCCAGTTGTACAGAGCCCATCCGTCCCGACCGGGCTCGCATTCAATGCCAAACCTGCACCGATTACAATCTCTGCACCAACTGTTTCGCCATCCAAAAGACATCACGTACACATCTCCTCAGCCATCCCACCGCCATCATTAAAACGAGCGGGACTAGCTCCCCCACTGTTCCTCCCCCAGTTCCTCCTCGTCCCCTCCCGCTTCTCCCGCCGCGAAAAGACACCCTCACCAACATCACCGCCCCCAATCCCCCGCCCAAAAAAGTCGAACTCCCAACCGCCAATTGGGGTGCCCTGTGGGATATCGTGAAACCGAATAAGAAACCGAAAAATTCGAGCGGGGGCCCAAGAGATCTCCTTTCTATTCAACCACCTCCGAATGACGACGGCTTTAGCAACCACAATATAAGTTATTCAGATTCACCCCTCACTAAATTACGACCGGATTTACCCGCGCAATCTTTTGAGGGATCGTTGGAGGGAAAGATCAAATTGGAAGCCTTTACCAATCCATACGCCTCGCTGGCGCCCCCAATGCCATCAGAATGGAGTCCCTTTTTTCAAAAGGATGGTGCATTCAATGCGATTTTTGTGGATTTGATGACGACCATGTTTTTGTGTTTGGATGTGGAGGGCACGAATGAATTGAGTCCGGAGGTGTGGAGTGCGTTTTTGGAGATGCAGGGGGTGGGGATGGAGAATAATATTTGTAGGTTTTTTTACATTTTACTCAAACCTCTTTACTTGGACCCCTTTGGTGGAAGGGGTCCAGAATTATGTGGCTCTTGTGATTTATTTTTACTTGATGAAGGATGAAAACTAACATGGATATGATTATTTAGGGCAAAAAACACTTTACACAACCGGGGGACCTCAAAATCAAGAGATCGCCGACCTCGAGTTGGGTATTTTCTTCAAGACGCATGATATTTCTCACACGCTTTCGGTACGCCATGCTTCGAATCTTCCGCCTCCATCGCCGTCTCCTACGGCGGGAGAACGTATTCGGAGATCGATTTCGCTCGGAGCTAATATGCCGATGTTGAGTCGGCAGGGGTTTATAGATGTCATGGGCATGGAAATGCTGCAGGATCCGGATGAGGGACACAGACGGTTGGAAGGGGTGGTTAGGGATTACGATATTTGGAAACCATTGGGGGATGTACCGCGGGAATGTTTCCTGGATGGGAAGATTGAGGGAAGAGGGAAGAGAAGGAGTTTATTGGAGATGAGCGAGGAGAAGGAGGAGGTGGAGAGGAAGATCATGGAGGGAATGTTCAGGGGTGTGGGAGCGGGGAAGATCGGGGGAAGGAATAGGAGTGAGGAGAAGGAGGAGAGGAGGGACAGATCGAGATCGAGATCGAGCTCGAGAGATAGTAGAAAGACGGATCTACCCGCGCCAGAAAGATTCGCCTTTGACGCCACGGATGAGGAAGAGCGAACGGGAGATAGAAAATCCCCCTTCTCCCATATCGAAGTCGATGTCATCCCCGAGGATGAATTCGAAGACACATACGATGAGATCAATCGGATCTTGACCAGGGAAGATATTGGTCCTACCGATATTATTGGGGAGGCCAAGTAATCAATCCCCCAATCAGCTACAAAACATATACCACCTACAACTTAACGAATTAACGAATTATTCTAAAAGCTTTCGAAACTCTTTTTTTCGATTTCCAATCCTTACACATTTCTTTTGTCATTTCTGATGGGTTGAGGGGTGGGTTGGTGGATGGGTTAGCTGATAATTTTGGAGTTTTTCGCAGCGTCTGTTGAATGGGATGAACCATGGGTTCCGGGGTGTCTTATATCTTGTCTTATATCCGTGTTAAAATAGCAACAAATCATACCCTAATAGTACTTATTTTATTTATACATTCTAGATTATTATTCAGGTGTCTATGTCGTACTTGTGATTCAAACCTTGTTTTTATATTTAGGTATGTGAGTGGGTGGGTAGGGAGGCACGTATTTGATCTGGGATTGAGATTTGAGATTTGGGATTTGTAAGTTAAATAGGAGACAGGGTAGGATGAGAACTCGAGCTTGGGAGTTGAGAATTATAATTTTGATTTGTTTTGGAATAAAACAATTGGTTTTCATGAATTGAAAGGGAGATTTGAAAGTTACTTCTTTCCTTGATTGGATGCTTACTTGCTTGATTGTTTCAGTACTTTTGTTATGAGTAGCTTGGGATTGGGGATTGGGGATTGGGGATTGCGAATTGCGAATTGCGAATTGCGAATTGCGAGTTGCAAGTTGCGAGTTACAAACTGAAGAGTGTGATTGATTGTCTACACATATAACGCTATATACATACACATCTAGATAGATAGGTAACAGAACATCTAGAGAACCAACATCAAGATACAAAATACATGATACAAGGTAAGATACACGATGACTTTTCATCAACTACCCCTTCCCTTTCATTTCTGAACCAGAACCAGAGCTACGAATGCCAAGGCTCATTCTAGATACATAGATACGTAGATACTCTACATGGTTACTGAATGAATCGAAATCTAATGCATTCAGAATCTAATGCGGTCTAATGCAATCTAATACCTGATGATATGATGGATGCGAGATCGACCAGCTCAAAATACTACCCTCACCCCCCTCTATATACAATTTCCAACAGTGATATTATTACAATTGAGATAGCCCCTTTCCATTCCTCTCACACATTACCCTGCACACCCACTTCTTCTTCTACTCCCCACCACCCCTCTCTACACCCCCCTCCTCGCCATGCCATGCCATACCATCCTATCTACCATCCATATTTCCCATCGTGCCCCTAGTCTGCGCATACGCATCAAACTGGCTATTATCCACCGCTACATATCTATTCTGCAACCCAGATCCGACTCTACTCTCTCGTGTTCGAAAATCAGAGGACATAGAATCATCACGTGCTTCTATGTGCACAGGAGCTGGAATTACGACTTGGAATGAGGATTGCGGTACAGGAGCTTGATCTTCGCTATCGGATTTCGTAAGATCGATGAATCGAGAGCGTTTTGTGTGATGTGGAGATTTGGATGAGGAGGTATTGAGAACCCTGGGAATTTTAGATGTAGTGGTGCGAGAACGAGGAATTCGACGGAGTAGAGTTGAGGCGCGTGGTCCGGAATCTACCCAGATGGTATCTTCGTTGTCGTCTTCATTGTCATATATTGTGACAGGATTATCTTGTGGGAAAAGTGGTTGATTGTTTACGTGATTCGTTATATTAGGTGTGTCTGTTTGATAGAGAGAATTGATTTGCGGAGGAGGTGATGCTGAATATAAGTCAGGAGAAATACTCTCTGCTCCAATTTCACGAGTGCTTGGTGTGGTGATATATTTTGGACCCGAACGTTTTGCAGAGTTGGACTCCAAAAGTGTGTTGGAATTGTAATAGGTTGAATTTGCAACTGATTCTCTTGATTTTGATAAAAGATCCCATGCTGAGTTCAGCCTTGGAGATTTACGAGCGCGTCCGTTGGCATGGTCAATCGACTGTCGCCTTTTTGGTATCGTGGACATCCCGCCTCGAAATTTTTGAGTGCTATCAAGTGAACCCGATTCGTCAAAACCAGACACACTTGAACCAACTGAGTTCGATGAGCTTGGGTAAGACCCGAAAGAACCGTTCG